TGCTGGCGTCCGACACACCTCCATGGATGAGCGCGCTTCGACGTGTTGCTGTGAAGGATTGCTAGAGGCAAATTATGTAGATTTTGTGCTCTAAATCTTGCATATATTTTGAATAATTGTTGGTTAAAATTTATAAAGTTTGATTTTTTTTCTTTTGTATATAAATAAAGTATCACTTATTAATTATTTCTAGATGAAGGGAATATTTACTATAAGAAATAAACTTATTCTGGCCTTTATTTGTTCAATCAACGAGTGATAGGAGGCAGAATTTTTGTGCTAAGTTTGTCTAGCGCACTGCAAATTCCGAAAGCAAACATGAAAAAAACGGAGCCCCGAGCGAGTCGGACAATGGAACCAAACAAACGGCGCCGAGGTGGGCTCGGACAACACATCTGATCGGACCCTGGAAAACGAAAACAAGGACGGCCACGCAAGGCCGCGTCCGAGTCCAACATGACCGCCGGCCGCCGCGCACCCAGGCCAATAAAAAGGCACCTACCTGCCCGCCATGCCATCCCATCAAACCGAAGTTGCGCAGCTCCATCGGCTAACTGACAACGTAATCGAGCGAGATGGGGCGCATTAAACATGCTGCGTCACTTCTACTCGCCGTGGCCCTCGCGCTCCTGCTCCCGGCGTCGCTGTGCGCCCAGTGCCGGCCCCAGGGTAGGCCACCAGTTGCGACGGCCGAGGGCCCAAGCGGAGGAGGGGCCCAAATTCAGATATACAAATTCTCACGTTCTATAGTCCATTAGGCATTAACAAATTAATGAGAAGAGAGACATAGAACTGATCAGGCGGCCTAAACAGACAACATCGGCATTTCTTTCCTAGTTTCATTTCCTCACGGCCCTCGGGTAGAGAGGAGGCGAGGAGTCACGCTGCACACAACACACTTTGATCGTGAGTTCACGACATGCGCCTTACACACGCAGAGCTAGCGAGCCGCGCTGCCGCGAAGAGCTAGACTACGGGAGACACGGACATGGCGCACGAGGATGGCAACCAGGTAGGGCTTCACGACGATGACATCTTGATTCTTGGCTTATTATGAATTGCGATCACTGATTTGTTGTTTAGGCCTAAGGTATTTTTTCCCTTTTTATTTTTAATCCAAATTAATTATTTGTATAGTATTCCAGATTCTTAATACTTTGTACCTATATAGCCATATTTTTCATCTAATTTAGGTGTTAGAATTTTACAATGTTACCTAAGAAATATTTGCCATAGGTGAGAAAAGAAAACGAATATATTGCTTTTTTAATCTACATCGTTCCTCGATAATTATCATACATCTACAAATATATTGCTTAATCTACATTATTCCTCGATAATTATCGGACATGTTAAATTAAAAACATGTTATTGAATTTGCTTTCGTTTTGCAAGTAAAATTAGCACCTATATATTATAAGATTTTATACGTGGTCAAGAGGGGCCGTTACAATAAGATCACCGTAGGGCCCTTAAAATCATAGGACCGGCACTGTGTGCGCCGCCAAGCCGATCAAGACCACGCCCACGCTCTGGGGCCTCCACCTGCCGCTGCCCGACGGTGTCACCGGCGTCGAGAGCCTCGCCTTCGACCGGCGTGGCCAGGGCCCCTACGCTGGCGTCTCCGACGGTCACATCCTCAAGTGGGGCGGCAGCGCCGCAGGCTGGACCACTTTCACTACCGGAGACGGCTTCTTTGTCGAGTGTCGCAGACTTTACCGAGTGTTTTTTATCGGGCACTCGACAAACCACCTCTTTGCCAAGTGCCAGAGATAAAGCACTCGGCAAACAACTGGCACTCGGCAAAGAGGTGGTTTGCCGAGTGCCGAGCACTCGGCAAACAATAACACTCAACAAAGATTAGGTTTGCGGAGTGTCAAACAATAACACTCGGCAAAGGGCCGCCGCCATTAACGGCCGGCAGCCGCCGTTAACCATTTGCCAAGTGTCTTCTCCTGGCACTCGGCAAAGAGCTGATTTGCCAAGTGTTATTTTTTGACACTCGGCAAACCGTATTTTTTTCACTTTTGACCTCCAAACTTTTTCTGCAGTCCTCATACAATACCTGATACTCCATGTTCCAATATGGCACATTTCTCGGACTTTTTCTATATTTCTTTAATTTATTTCATTTAATTGAATTTTCTTGGATAATTCAAATTATAACTGCTAGTCATTCGAATAATGAAAAAATGAATGAAAAAATGATATTCATGTTATTTAGTATAATGTGAGGCTGTATCCAGGAACATACCACCAATTTCGAACATCTTGTTCACGAAACATGACCATGAACTTGCAGTCGAGTTGTTTTTAAATTCTATAAAAAACAAACGAAGTCCGAAAATCATTAAACTTGCCAAGATGTCATGATATCATATGTGGAGGCTGTGATAAAAATTTGAAAAAGTTTCGCGCAAATTGTCACGTACGATGCTTACCACCTCGTCGGCCTCTTCACGAAATCATAAAACTTTTTCGGAGATTCTTCGGTTTGCAAGCATCGAGTCCGGCGGATCGAGTCCGGCGGGGTGCCCTTCCACTGGTACGCTGCCGCCCCGCCGCCACTATGTAGCTAGTAGAGTAGCTTAGTTGTAACTAGTTGTAGTCAGTTTTGTTGCTAGCTCTCTAGTATAGAATTAGTTGCAAGATTGTTTGTTTGTGTGGAGGAGGCTTGCTTGTGGTGCTTCAGAGCTATAGCAATATTTTCATGTTTCGTATGACCATCACATATTGTTTGTTTTTATGGCTTATTATAATATAGTAGGAGGTCAATAACTGTATAAACTCTGTGGTACTATACAGCGTATTCTTGCATGTTAGTTCTGTCCCCGCACATCTGTAATTTGTAGATCTATTGCTAAAACAGTAGACATGATTTTTCATGTATCAAACTTATAAACGCTAGGGCTATACAGATGATCCGGGACCAGTACCTGCAGATAAATACAGAACATTAATACTGATTCCTTTTGAGATTAAGTAGGCTTAATTTCATCTTCTGATATGTCATGTACTTGATGGCCTGTAGATGATTCCTTATTGGTGCGCCGCGCATCCCCAGTGCTGGGAACAGATGGTGGACAAGTGATGCTCACGCGAGTGGGAGGAGACGCACAACTTGTGCCGAGAGCGGCGTTTGATGATGCCAGGTGTAGCACACCATCAAGGCAGCCGCAACCTCAGCGGATACGCAGAAACATGGGTACGCGAATTCATTTATTTATTCTAACACTTAATTCTGCATGATTTCTAATCATCTTGCTGTTTTTCTCGCAGTCGGCGTCACATGGTGGCCAGCCTTGCTCCATCTTCAAGGCATTTGCTATGGCCCACAAGGGCAAGGCTACGTCCGACGTCGACTACAACCCGGAGGACAGGGACGAGGCGTACAGCAATGCGACCGTCCACAACCGTCTCAGTGAGTACACATCGATGGCAAAGGAGGTCCATGGGCCAGAGTACGATCCGAGCACCGAGGACCTTAATGGAGAAGTCGTCATGAGGGTGAGAGGAAGCAAGAAGCATGGGCGGTACTGGATTGACGACGGCGCAATCGACTCGGCCGCTACTCCCAGTCTCTCCTAGATTCGAGCAAGCAGCACGAGCAGAAGCCCGGCCATACGACCTCGGCAGGACACTTCACACCACCGGGTGGAGGCACTCGAGGTTATTCCTGGTTTATTCGTCGTTCATTGGTTTTTTCATACCTTTCCTTTGCATTATTGTAACATTGGGGTGAATATATTGTAGGCCCAGCTGGAACAAGAGAGGAGGATACGGGAGCAGATGCAGGCGAAGATGGAGAGGGTGGAGGCCGAGCAGCGGAGGATGGCGGAGATTCTTCAGTACATGCAAAGTCTTGACGCCGCTACGGGTGTAGTTCTGCCACCTTCGCTATTCGCTCCACCTCCTCACTATTCTACTCTTGTGAGTATAAATATTTTAGTTTGTATGTTCATGCTTACGGTCAAACCTAGTGGAGTATGAAAGTTTTATTCATGTATGGTATATATTTATCTTGTCTCACACATGCAATCTCTTCTCCTTTGTGCAGAATCAATCGGCGGCATCGAACGATTCTCATGCTTCAGCGAATCCTTCATCAAATTAGTCTCATTGGCCATCTTGGTGATGATACTTGTGGTTGTTAATGGAACTTCTATTTGCAATTGTGGTTGTAGATGATGGAGCACTTAATTACTTGTGAACTTATTTGTGATATATTGTGAGACATCAGACATGTGACGTTTTTTATATATATGTGACGTTTGTGATATATATGTGATGTTGATGATATATATGTGATGTTAGTGATATTTGTTATATATATCTTCTGTTTGTTTGGATGGAATGTAAAAAACAAATAAAAAAAGATTGTTTTCAGTCACTTTGCCGAGTGCAATGGCCATGACACTCGGCAAAGTGACGACCTGAGAACATGTCTGGGAACATGCTTTGCCGAGTGCAAAGGCCATTGCACTCGGCAAACATCACAGATTTGTTGAGTGCTACGGGCCAGGCACTCGGCAAAGGTGTGGCACTCGGCAAAGGTGGCCTGTTTGTCGAGTGTCTTGCCGGTGGCACTCGACACAGTGGCCACCTTTGCTGAGTGTCTGAGTCAACGGCGCTTGGCAAAGAGGTGACATTTGCCGAGTGCTTGACCTTAACACTCGGCAAAGCCGCCGTCACGGTGGTGCTCACTGTCACGACGACTTTTCTTTGCCGAGTGTCAGATTAGCACTTGGCAAAGGATTTATCGACTGCTCGATAAAATACACTCGGCAAAGAAGTCTTTGTAGATAAACTGTTTACCGAGGCTTTGTCGAGTATATATCGGTCTTTACCGAGTGCCACTCAGCAAAGAAGCTTAATCCGGTAGTGTTTCGCCCACAGTCCAAACGACCGGAAGATCCCAATGTGCACGGCGTCCGTGGTGCCGTCGGAACAGACGGATAGCATGTGGGGCCGCCCGCTTGGGCTGCAGTTCTACGCCATGCATGACCGCCAACCTCTACATCGCCGACGCGTACATGGGGCTCATGAAGGTCGGGCCCGACGGCGGCGAGGCCCAGGTGCTGGCTACCCAAGCGGACGACGGCGCGCCGTTCCACTTCGTCAACGGACTCGACGTCGACCAGGGCACGGGCGACGTGTACTTCACGGACAGCAGCGCCACGTACCCGCGCAGGTTCAACGCCGAGATCATGATGAACGCCGACGCCACGGGGCGGCTGCTCAAGTACGACGCGCGGACAAAGCAGGTCGCCGTGCTCAAGGCCGACCTGCCGTACCCCAACGGCGTGGCGGTCAGCAGCGACAGGACGCATGTGGTGGTGGCGCACACCGTACCGTGCCAGGCGTTCAGGTATTGCCTCAAGGGGCCCCATGGCCGGCCAGTACGAGCTCCTCGCGGACCTGCCTGGGTACCCGGATAATGTGAGGCGCGACGCCAGGGGCGGCTACTGGGTAGCGCTCAACCAGGAGAAGACGCGCGGCTCGACGCGACGGCCCCTCCAGTGAAGCATCTCGTTGGTGTCCGGCTTGGTGTAGACGGCGAGGCGGCGGTGGAGGAGCTGACAGCGGCTAAGGGCGTGACTCTGAGCGACGTTGCTGAGAAAGACGGCCAGCTGTGGCTAGGATCCGTAGAATTGGACTACGTGGGCCTAGTTTAGATTACTACAGTACTGGATCAGATAATATACTAGCTACACAGTAACATGCCCTCTAGTATTTAGATTAGGGCAGCAATTGACTTTTTTTTATTATCATTCCAACAATTAACTTTTAAGTTAGCTCTAAGTATTTTTCTCATATTTTAATGGAAGAGAGAGAAAATGTAGCTCTTAAATGAAGAACTAAGCACTTGTACATATTTTAAGGTTACGTGAGAGTGTCATATGGAGCTACCATGTTAAAAACTATGTACTAAAAATTATCACTATTGAAAAAAATTAGCTTAGAGCTACTAACTAGCTCTAACCATTGCGGATGCCCTTAGAAAGTAGTTTTAGTTATAGACTGTACTCCCTCCGTTCAAATATTAAACATTAGTATTATTATGCATTTATTTAAAGTGGAGGGAGTATCTTCTTATGGCTCTAATTACATTTATATTGATTTTATTATTATTATTATTAGATGTACAAAGTCGTTTATGATTTTAGAGTTTATCAACCTGTTCGCTGGTTAGTTTCTGGGCTGATAAGCCCAGCTGATGCTGGTTTGTTGTGAGAGAAAAACATTATTGTTGGCTAGCTGATAAGCCCTGAGTAAAACCAACAAACCAACAAGTGAATATGTGGGAATTTCACGTGTTATCTGGGTTTGTTTGCTTTTGTGTCATGTCCAAGATAATCCATCGCATAGATGGACAATATTAACCATGACACAAAATATTATATTTGTTGCGTGATCTGTATAATTGTGGATTGATTTAGCTTACGTTGTCAACTTGACCTGGACCTCATAGCAATTCTGTCGCTATGGCTGCTCTACTATAAATAACCTTTTTTCACTGATGTTACCAACAAATACACCTGCATAAGTGATGTTACCAACAAACACGTACTCAAACTATTTTTCACAATAAAATTTAAACAAAAGCATATAATTATTGGAGATCGGTCGTTAATTGATATAGCACATTGTTGTTAAAAAAGATAAATAGCTATATTTTTGTTCAAACTGCTTTGGACTTGGGCTGCTTAATCTAATTTGAAGATACAACTAATTTTAGTAACTACCACGCGTTAGATCCACGTATACACTACTAATAGTCAATCACTGTTGTCGGGTACGCATGAGCCAAAAGTGATTATACTTCACTGACAGGTCATTAACCTACATTTGGACAATAATTGGGGATCCTATTCACATGCTAATGAAGACTCCTATCACTGCCGGGTCGACCCACAACCCCACAGCCGGTCAGAGCAACATAACTGACAGTGATAGAAAGGACAAGAACGAACTTCACGAACAACCCCTCTATGCTAACTATGGGCCATTGCTAGTAATTCTTAAGCCCTTTGGTAAGCTCTAGTCACACCCCTAGTGAAGACCGCCATCCAATTCATCCCCTAAGTACAAAATTTGGTAGATTAACCATGGATGGTCTTCGCCTAAGCAAAATCCACCTATGTACCTCCCTAGATTTGTTGTAGACCCTCCTAGCAACACCTCTACAAAAATTAACCTTTTAGCAAACCATAGCCCAGTCTACTCTCGACAGGGTTGAGGGTGAGCCTCAATGCCTTCACCATGGCTGACCGATGGTCTATCCAGGTAGGTACGATGGTCCAAAATGCCTAAAACCACACAACATAGACATGAAACCCCTCAGATGGTCCATAGAGACCCTATGGATGCTCCGAGCAGCCCCCATGTAATCCTGGGGAGACTAGTGAGTTTGCTGAAGCCTCTGTTCTTGCTTAACCCAAACGTTTGTGGAATCTTGCAGCCCACAATCTCTGCTGTACATGACATAGCAATTGCCTATACTTGCCATTTATCCAGAAATGCGTATATATATAGTAATACCTAGCTCTGTCCAAGAAACTATACAATATTGGTTAACATGTATCAAGTTTAATCAAATATATATGTATAAAAATATTAATATTTATAACACTAAATACATATAATATTATAAATATTTCATTAAAAAAATCTAATAATGCTTATTTGATGTTATAGATATTGATAATTTTTTGTTTATAGTTATTTAAACTTAAGATACTTTGGGTACTACAAACTAGATTTGTTTTGTGGATGGAGAAAGTACCTTGCAATTGCAGTACAAAACAAGTACATCCTCCGTCTTACGAAGAATGTCATTCTCACTTTTTGAAAAGTAAAACATTCTCAATTTTGACTAAATATATATAAAAAAATATTAATATTTATATTTCATAATTAGTATCGGTAGATAAATCGTTGAATATATTTTTTATAATAAATTTATTTGAACCTACACAAATGTTATTAATGTTTTCTATAAACCTAGTATAAATCTTATAGCGACACTTTTTTTTTATGGAGGAAGTACGGATACACATCACAGTGGTGAAAACAAAACTGAAGATCACTGGATCAGTGCAATACGGACACGAAGCCGTGCGCCAAAATTTGCAGGGAAGACTGACAGACGCGTTATTGCTGCGGTGGTTCGTCCAGTGAGCGGTGAGCGCGCTAACGATATCAATTATCATACTGGATGGATTAGTTAGTTGTGGGCAGGTTCGGTTGCTTTGCCGCACGGCTGATTGCCATTTTGGCAGCTTCACGTTGAGCCGAACGGATCGTCACCGATGCATGCAGCAGGTCGCTTGGGCCTTTGGATCGTCGTGTGTCACGATCAATCGATCATGACGCTGGGGATTCCTTTTCTCTTTGGCAAGCGAGAATAAGACGGTGGACATCCCATGCTCATCGAAAGAAGAAGAGATGAAAAGAAAAGGCCCCCATTATTGAGTCGGGTCCATTTGTCCCTGTATAACAGGAAAAAAAAGTAAAGGAAGATAAGGCGAAAACAATGGAATTGCATCTGATAATTGACATATCTCACATCAGTGCAAATTATCACAAATGAATGCACCGACAAAGCCTGGCATCCACCTCCAAAAAAGTTTCCCCTTCCTTTTTTCACCCAAATGAAGGCAGTAATGCTGAACAGGCAGAATACGGTATGCACGTCGTCACCGTAGTATGGTGGTGTTTAAATCCAGACAGTAAAGTTTGATGATATCACATCGGACGAGACGAATAAGCCTAATTAATTTGTTATTAGCACATGGTTACTGTAGCACCATATTGTCAAATCATAAACTAATTAGGCTTAAAAAATTCGTCTCGTAAATTAGTCGCAATCTATGTAATTAGTTATTTTTTTAGTATATGTTTAATACTCTGTAGAGGTATCAAACATCCAATGTTATAGATAAACATACACATTCAGATGAAAGCAGACAGGATCAGATAAGCACCGCCTGCAGTGACAGTTGCACTGCGCTGATAAAATCGTCGCGGATTATGGGTTGCTCGCGCACACGCGGCTGGCTGCGATTTCAGCAGCAGTTGGAGCTTCAGTTTGAAGGAACTGGCTTTCTGAATGGCGTCGGCGTGGCACGCCGTGGGTCGCGGTCACGACGACGCACAGGGTTTCTCCTTTGGTTTTCGCCTCGTTCCCTCGGGGAGAAGAAGCGAAAACAAAGACCCCGTCTTATGGGGTCCCATCTCTCGCTTTAGCAATACTCCTAGGAAAAGAGCACAGGATAATACTATTACGCGATCGGCAGAGAGTCACAGACCTCGTAATCGTCCACACACACATCACTGCATATACTGAACGCACTGACCGACAAAATAAAGTGCTGTCAGGCAGCTACAATATCCAAAGATATTTCTTGTGCTAAATACCAAATCAGGCACGGCACTTGCACAACTGCCGGTAGAGTCGATGATGCAAATGGAGGCAAATGATTTGAGGAGCGAACGAGCGTGGTGCGATGTATTTACACAGGCTGCTGGACTGGACGTATTACAGTTTTGAGATTTGGACGTACTACAGGCATTACAAATGATACTAGCTAGTCGAAAGTGCAGGGTTCAATTTCTGTTCTGATGAACGTAGAGGACGGACGGGTCCATGTCCATGGCGGCGAAAGTGCAGGCCAGCAGGATTCGGAGATTGATTGATTGATTGATTAGGAGGAGGCGGCGGCGGCAGCCTTGAAGAGGAGGAAGGAGAGGCGCTCGAGGGAGAAGTAGATGAAGGTGCCGCTGGTGTGGGTGAAGAAGCACCCGAAGTTGGCGCCCACCACGCACTGCCACCCCACGCCGTACCGCTTGTCGAACTCCTGCAAGTGCAAGCACCGTAAAAATCTTCAATCATTCATGAATCAATCATGAGAATCCCATCCTGCCATCCATCAAACCAAATGTGACACGAGAACGGCCAGAGAGCCAGAGAGGGCGTGCCGTCTTGATGTGGCCGGCGATGCCGCGGCAGTCGGCGACGTCGAAGAGGTCGAGCGCGCGGGAGGCCGCCGTGGTCGCCGCGGCCTGCATCCGCGCCGGCATGTCCGTGTCCTCCACCCGCGCCTTCCCCTCCAACATTCTCCTCTTCTCTTCTCGCCCGGGTCAGCCCCCTCCTTCACCCTCTCTCCCTCTCGCAAACACTGCTATGGCTATGCACGATGAGGATCCGGCAGGCCGGCTGTCTGGCTTGGTTTCTTGATTGTGGGGGCAGACGGCTCAAGGAATATAAATGGAGGAGAGAGAGGTTCCCGAGAGAAGGACGGGGCCGCAGCAGGGGAACGGGAATCTGCGGAAGAGAGAGAGGAGAGGGTGATGGCCGGGTGGGCCCGCTGCTATTCCGGAAGGCGCTATGCGTGACGTGTCCGCTCTATCTTATCTTGGCTTCTTCCCGATTCTCATCTCTCGCTCGGTCGCTCCGGGTCCGGACGTCGTGGTTGTCGGCGGCGAGCGTCGGCCGTCCGACTCCACGAGTCCGTCACGTTTATAGACACAGTCTTTACTTGGTATGTAGCAAAAACTGCGTATTTAAAAAGGTAAAAAAAACACAAATGCTAAATATCACCTGGTTGTTTTAGCACTCATAAACACACGGTTTTTCTGTGCCTCTGACGTGTAGGTCCACACCTAACTCCACTTAAAAAAGCAACGCTCCTCCCCGACGCTCCGCCCTCATGGGCTTGCGGCGGCGACGCATCTCTCTGTCTTTGACGCTCCTCCCTCTCTCTCTCCCTAGCGCCGGCAAGCCCCACTCGTGCCCCGGCGACCTCCAGACGAGCCCCACCCGTGCCCACGCCCCCACTCGCCCGCGAACTCGCCGACCATCGAGGTAGGACTTCTCCTCCTCCTCGTCCTCGTCCTCCTCCTCCTCCTCTTCGTGGATCTGTGCCGACCGGAGACAAAGACGACGTCGGCGGTGGCTAGGGTTCCGGTGAGCCTCTTCCCCAAATTTTGTCCTTATCCTTTCATAGAAAAAAAATATTTCTTATGATTTGTGATCTATGATTTATGATTTGTGCCGACATAGTCGTGGATCTTTGTTACTTGTGATTTGTGCCGACATAGCCGCGGCCAAGGGCGGGGCGGTGGACGGCGGCGGGGGCGAGTTCTGCAGTGCGTCTAGAGGTAGAAGAACTCTGGAGGGCAGAGGTAGAAAAAAGGCTGGAGGCTGTTGGATCTTCATCCTACGTTTAAAAAAAAATCACATATTCAAACTGTATAAAACACAAAGTTGTGCAGTAGGCAGACTAAAATAACTACTTCTTAAGCTATAGAAGTTTTGTACGTCTTAAGCTATAGAAGTTAAACAAGTTCCATACGATCAACTCAAATACATGTGAATTGACATATGTGCATCCAAATCAGTCTTATAATTTAGAAATGGATATAGTACTGTTTAACCAGCTCTAAAGAAGTCTCCACGTTAACAATCATGTGACACATTAAAAGAAAGGTAAATCTTGAAAATTGTCATAAAATGAGAACATCTCGCCATTTACTCCTGTTCCAAATTGTAAGTTAATTTTGGATTTTCTAGAGATATATTTTTACATAGCGTGTATCAAGATGCGTAGCAAAATCTATACATATACTAGAAAAGCCACAACAACCTACAATTTGAAACATATGGAGTATTTGATACACTCTAATTATCATCTTACTATTGTTACAATCCTCACAAAATTTACTAGATGAAAGGATAATCCATGAAGTTCTCATAAAACTAGAAATATCTGGACATCAATTTGGTTGGCTATAATCACTTTCGACACTGACATGGATCTATTATATTCCCTAACTCCTCTACCACCATAAAAAACATAAAGTGACCCTCAAATTTTATATCTAAATTATTACCACTTTTGCTATTAGAAAAATAAATTAATAATAATCCATTAAAGGTTGACATGTTTAATATAAGAACGTGGAGTCCTAGAAAATTTGAATAGCCTTCTCCGCGGTTATTATTTCAGCCGAGATATCAGAGCAAGTGGTTCATCCGCCATTGGATCCACCTAACACCTCAACTGGTGGCCTTTAAAAGGCGCCCCTGGTGAGATTTCCCCAAAGAACTGTACCAGAGATTGGTGCCGTTCGCCTGACTGGTTTTCAGACTAGCCGACTGGTTTCTCCTCACAACGGCACTATTCATCAACCAGCCGCTACAGTATTTCTCTCTCACACAACAAGCTGCTATAGTGTTTTGACTTCTTTTTTCACACAAGCGAACGGGGCCATTTTCGTAGTCACATAGTTGAGTGAGCTGATCGAGTGCCCACCATGGCTCCTTCTCCCATGGCCTCTAAAGGTTGGCATTGAATTTGGGAGAAGGCATTGCGTGGGATCCTACTCGGACACATTGGTGTAGAGATAGTTACACAACCAAGGTACCAAAAGAATGCTCATAAAGTGGGGAACATGAGAGCCGCTACAGCCGAATCTAAACTTTGTAGCTGAATTTTTTTTCATTTAATTAAGATTGTTTAGAAGCTGAAATATTCAATACAAGGTTCATACATGTTAATACAAAGTGGTAGCATGATATGCTTGGTCACAAGTGATTGTGTAGTTTGGTAATAGGAGGCGGTGCGCGTAAGGCAAGAGGTCACATGTCCACTTTAAAAATTAAGTTGTAGCTAAGCCCTTCTGGCACATGAAAATATTTCCTTATTTTTTAAGATCTTCAAATCTGAAAAAACAATTTTAGAGGTGGTTCACCCTGGAGATCTTCAGGGGTGGTTGATTTAACAGAACTACTATCCCTGAAAACGATTTGTAGGGATGGTTTTGAGGTGGGTTGATCCCTATAAATCATTTTAGAGGCGTTGACTTAACAAAACCACCCATAAAAACTGATTTTTGGGATGGTTTTAAAACCATTTCGAAAAATATGTAATATCTACAATTGATGGCATAGTAAGGGTCTTGAAAACCGACCCTAAAAATCGATTTGGACTATCTCTAAGTCTTTCGTGTGTTTGTGGAGCTAGAGGGAGTCTGCTCGATTGAAGCCTTTGTGGCGAACCCAAGACCTTGACTGAGAAACCAAGGCTTGGTGATAGAAATGGAATCCTCTGTAGAGCATCAACGTAAAGTAGGATGCGATGTTTTCTTCACCAATACACAGTTTACATTGTTGTGTCATAACTCACAAATTTGCTTCTATCCATCGTACCCATATTTCAACTCGCGCACTTATGGTTCCTCTTTACGTGATTATATATGTCGTTACCTTAAGGCTAGTTGATATAACTGGCTATAAGTTGTGTAAAACTTTTTGGGTGGATAAGTAGAGCACCGGATAAACCGAAGGTGTATGTGGAGCTCCAGTTATTTTTATCTCTGCTCTTAATTTATTTAACCAAATAAGTCTAACTCCAAGAACTACGTTCCAAGAAAAAGACGGAGCTGGACCCCAACTTCATGTTTTGTAGAGCAACTCAAGAGATACTCTACAAACAAATGTTTTTAAACTCATCATAGAGTTGTGAAATTTTTTTCCACCATGCCACTGATTACACACCTCATACCAGCTAGTTTTGTTTTTTTTCTAGTCTAAAGTTTAAGTTGAGGCATTGGTGTCGACGAAATCTGGTCGGCAGTCTACCGAGGGGTATGCCCACGGTAGTAGATGAATCGGTGGAGGTGCGCATGAGAAAACCGGATGGTGACGCAGAACGCAAGAGAGAGCGATTAGACAGGTTCGGGCCGTCGGCTTGACGTAACACCCTACATCCTGTGTCTTTGTGGATTGTATTGCGTATGATTAGATGAAAACGAGGGGAGTCCCTACCCGCCTTATATGGCCTGGGGGTAGGGTTATAGATCGGTTGTTTCTATCTTGATCGGTTTACAAGATAAGAAGTTACAAATATCATGGTAATCTAGCATATCCGAGCAGATTTCCTAGATCTCCGAGGATCTTCACGTAGTCTTGCGAGGCACGCTGACTTACGCCGTACTTCACGCTGGCATCGTCTTGCACGCTGGGCCTCGACTGGCGACACGGCCCCTGCGTGGTCTCGTGGGCTGGGCCTCCCCTAGCGGCTCGACCCATGTGCAGCCCTGTGGGCATCGAGGGTTATACCCCCACAACTAGTCTCCGAGCGCCTTGTATCCGCCGAGCAACGCCATCTTGAGCTTGTCCGAGCAGTCCAGCTAATCGCCGGTCATCAAAAACAGGCGTCCATCTAGATTGACTGGTAGCCGAGCTGTTGAAACAGGCGTCCGAGCTATTGAATACGTCATCCGAGCTGTTGAACATGGCGTCCGAGCTGTAGAAACGAATGTCCAAGTGTTTCAATCTGGGAGCCGAGCTCGGGCTCACTTGATGCTTCAAGGTTTGCCAATAGGATGTAAGGAGCTCAAGTAAAAAAAATTAAAGTCCTAGCTGGTGAAGTGTACACACTTAAGTGCCTATTGCAATGGCTCTGGCGACGTGGTCATCAGGGTAGAGCAGAGGCATCAGATGGCAGAATTGACGAAGTCAAAACACCGTGGAAAAAAGCAGTACATGCACCGCAAGGTGCATTGTACACAATGTAGTCCCCAAGTCTGTTGGAAGATGATGAAGGAATCTTGTAGCAGGGTTAAAGAAAAATATCCAGACTAGACAATCAGTACATTCATCGCTAGGTGAAGTGTATACACTTAGTCCTCGAGTCTGGCACTAGGTGAGGCAGTCTAGTAGTGCTAGGATCCAAAGAGGCAGTCTGCGGGTGCTGAACCCGTTTCTGTCTTAACTGAGAAAAATAGTAGTCATTGTAAGATGACGTGTACACATATAGTCTCCGAACCTGCTGGAGGGTGATGAAGGTATCTTGTAGTAGGGTTAGAAAATATCTTGACTCCGTTGAAATGACACGTAGCATTGGACTCCGTTTCATCACTCCGTATTCAACGCAGTTTGACGCGGTGGCCTATAAGGCCCACTCGATGGCCCAACGACGCGCGGTGGTTTCAGGGGAGAATGCGGCGGGGGAGGCTTGGTTTCCTAAAAACCTTAGAAGGCCAAGGGTTAGGGGTCGAACCGTTATAAGAGCGGCACAACCCCGGCGCACATTACCCACCTTTCCTTTGCC